TTCATGGTACAAAAATGGCACCTTTTTCACATAATTATTACCGTAAAAAACATAACATTTCCTTTTGAGGTGACAACAGAGTTCTGGAGCTAGACAGTGGTGATGGTTGTACAACATTGATAATGTACTGGGTTGTATACTTTAAAATGCTTAAAATGGCAAATTTTATGTTATGTGTATTTTGCCATGATAATTTAAAAAATGACCACACCATACCTTCAGTCAGGAGAATTGGAAAAGACAGGGATATATGTTGGTTTGGAGAGGAAATTCAGACTTAGGAGAAATATCAAATGTTTTATTTTTAGACATGACAAAATTTTTTTTTGTCTCAGAATGCTCTAAATTTTCAAAGGTAAAATTACAACTCATGTAAATGTAAAAAGAATATGTGAAAGATTTTTCAACACAATTAATGAACAACTGCTAGGATTAAGAAAACAGTTGAAGGGTATATGTGTATATACAATATACACAATATGAAGATATAAACAAAACATTGAATTTTATAAACACATAGGAAATTAATAAATGTTAGAATAACACTGCCAGGTTAAATACAAAACTAGTTAATATCTTACAGGGCAATAAATTGTAATATTTAAGGTTATCTATTGCACTGGACATAAATCATTTACATATCTATTGAATAAAATATATACATGTTAACATCAGTGTCTACAGAGTTGAAAAATAGGTAAATCAATAGACATCCCAGCACTGCCCTGAAATGACATCCAGTAACTAATGGTGACTTTACCTAAGTTTTGTATAATTTTTCTGACAGTGCAACATGCTTTTTTTTCCTCACCTGATCCTAGTTTGGTAAGGTAGATGGAAGTGACAGTTTTGCCTCCCTTTGCAAACCATAAGTTTTAACAGGGATCATCCTAGTGGTGCAAATTGGAGTTTGAATTTTGTTTTGCTTACTACCATGTTTCAAGACAGATCCTGTGTGTGTTTTAGTATGTCGCTTGAGTCGTATACAAAATATTAAAAATCACTTCATTTCCCAAATCCTCATCGAATGTTCCTTGCCAGCCAAGTGGTCCTCCAGAGCAAAGCCCAGCCTTCCTTCCAGCTGTCTGGCCAAGGAGCTTCAGTGTCTTCTAGTAAGCACCCCAGAGGCAGAAGACTGTCATCGGTGGTAGGGGACTGCGGCGAACAAGCTGACTGCGCAGTCACGTGGGGCTGACGGTGGGTCATGTGACCAGGCTCTGGATTTGGCCTGCGGAGAGGAGTGTTTTCTTACACCCAGAAAGGACCTGAAAGGCGGAAGACACCTGTGCTCCGCAGAGCAGAACGTGGGAGGAACGGCGGCATATTAAGGTAGGTAGGTGTCTTTCCATGCTGCATCAGCCTGAAAACTAATTTCTCAGGCGACCGGAACTACAGCATTTGTTGGTAAAGGAAACAATCCCTCAGCCAACCGCGAGCGTCTTAGCTGATCTGTCTTTTGTTCAGGAGCTCAAGAAGCAAAGAGTCTACCTGCCTGACTCATTCATGGAAAGGAGCAGCGGTTGCTATTGGAGGAAGTGGGTGCAAGGACGGCAGATGCCATCCCTAAGAGGTGGTGACTGAGACTAGATGCGGGTGCAGGTAATGCCTCGGATCCGCCTGCTCCCTCCTGCCTTTTGAACACCCTTATCTCCTCATCCCAACGCTCCCAGCCCAGTGAGTGCCCTGTGTTTGTATGTGTGGGTGGGGGAGGTGGGCATATGGATGGAGTTGGCTTCAGGGAAGCCCAGAGCGGGGAAATGGTGAAGTGACAATTCGTGAACATCTGTGGTGCTGGATCAGGAAAGGCAGGGGTGGGGATGGGAACCATGGGCTACGCATCCGCACTCATTCTACTCTGTATCTTCTTACTGGCAGTATTCAGGCAGTGGGGATGGCTGATATCAGCTCAAAACTGGCAGAGGGTGGAGGAGGGCAGGAGAAGGGAACACATACATCTGCCTTTTACTGCAAGGCTCCAGCTGACTGGGGATGCAAGAGAGGAATGAACCTCAATCCTGGCAGTTCTAGGAAAAGGAGGAGAAGACATAGACTCGAGGAGAGGAAACCTAGATGCTGTGAGCCATTCACCTAGGATTTCTCATTAGGATACTCCAAGCTTCTCGACGGGATTCCTGGGTCTCAGCCCCATGCAGCAGAATCTCATTCCCATTGAGGGACACAAAGTGGGTTGCTGCTCCATGTGACACTCTCTCTCCCTGCTGTCTTGGGCCTCAGAGGAGGGTCTTTCTGGGGAGCACCTACAGAAACTGCTTCATGGATAGTCTCCTAAGTTCCCCTCTGCATACCCTTTGCCCTCTTGTGTTGTGATCTCTGCTCATTCCTTAGGATGTGTTTCTTTGGTCCCATCACAGGTAGCAACCCCATGGTAAGTCCTTGTCCTCTTTCACATTGAGTATCCT